GCAATGACTTAACCCCTTGCACCACCAGGGAGACCCCACAGCCATAATCTCTTTAGGACAAATTCTTAGAAGTGGAGCTGTTTGTCCCAGGGGGTTGCGCATTTGTAAGACTTTGATGGTATACTCTGACCTGTGAAGGACGTCTCCAGGACACCCAAGTGTCCAAGTCAGAAGCCTCAGATAATGTTCAGCCCAAGAGGAGAAGGTTGATTGATGAGGGACCAAGAGGTGAGGGACAGGTTAGGGGTGCACAGGTGCTGGGTGGTGAGAGGTGCTGCCAGGCTCAGCTACTGGGGAAATACTACAGGGACTCCCCCAGAACCCAGAGGAATGCTCTTCTTGCCCCCTTCCCAGCCCTCCTCACTAAGGGCCCCATGCACTAGCAGGATTCTGCAGCCTCTTCCGGGCTGCTCCCGTTTGTCTTAGGTCCTCCAAAACGCGGGGTGCCAGCTCCCTGAAACGCAATCAAACGCAACCTGCCCTGAGCCCTGCCCACCTCCCCATCCCCGAGTGGGTCAGCCTGGTTCCCAAAGGCAGGTCTCTGCACCCCGCTAGGGGTCCTCTCTCCAAGATTGGAAGGAGGGCTAACTGCTTGGGGGTGGGGCGATGGGGGTTGCTGGATTGGGGGTTTAGATCTTGAGATGACTCACAAGCTTTCCTAAGGGAGAAAGGGGCTGGGGAATGAATGGATTGCACGCCAAGAGGGAGGGACTGAGGAGATAAGCTAGGGGCCCTTGATTCGCCAGCGTCAGTTTCTTCAACATCTGCAGTGCGTGGGGCTGAGCGATCCCACTGGGAGGTGGTGGGGGCAAGACTGGGAGGCTGGCTGACGTTCGCTTCCCGCCTGCTGGGTCAGCCCGGAGCAGTTCATGAATGACTCACCTCATTGTCAGGCTGATTCACTGCTCGCCTGGGGACTAGAGGGAGGGGGGTCGGCAGCAGCCCCCCTCGTACGTCTCACCGCGCGCACACACACGCAAGCTCACACGCACACACGTGGGCGGGGCTCCAGTGAATCCATTTACCTGCGTCCGGGAAGGGCGTCGCGGGTCTAGAGGAAAAAGGTGGATTTCCAAATTCAAAGGGAGGAGGTTACACCACTTGGTCTGTGAGTTTGAGGTTTCCGTCTGTAGTCTGTCCATGACTAATTACATTTAAATTGATTATAATTAAATACAATTAAAACTTCAGTTTCTTGGTCTCATTCACCAAATTTCAGATGCTCAATAGCCACCGATGACTGATGGCTACTCTATTGCTTTAGCACAGATAGAAAATATCTCCATCCAGCCAAGTTCTAGCTGGCTGTGCTGGCCTGTACAGCCTCACACACTCCATGCCACACAAAAAGTAGGCTCTCCTCCCTACCCCCACACACTTAACACCCTCACCCACATATGCAGCACACAACACACATTTAATTCTATACACATTCATTCCACACATTCACCCCACATGCACCACCCGCCTGCCTGCCCGCCAGCACAGCCATGCAAGACTGAACACACACACTTCTAGTGTCTGCGACTGTCCATACCTAGGCATAGGTCAATATAAGCACATAAACACACACAGGCACCATCACACTGGTTCGAACACAAATACATATATTCCTATGGTAAAAACACAAATTAGGGTGAAGTATATTTGCAAATGTGCTGAAACAGATACAAACTCAGGCCATGTGGTTCCTATAACAAATCTCAGCACAATTTGCAAACTCAAGTAGGGGGGAAGGGTACCCACATTGTTGAGCCCCTGCCAACAGGCTAGTCATGGAGTTAGCTGTTTTAATGCATTAATTCATCTCATCCACAGCAACTCTGTGAGCAAGATGAATTACTCCATTTCCATAAATGAGACAACTAAGATTCAGAGAGGCAAAGCAACATACTCAAGGCAACACGGCCAGTTTGCAGCACAGTCAAGTATCAATCAAGATTTGCAGGTATTTGAGGAAGAGAGCGGAAGTTGCCCAGATGCATTAGCATTCCCTCCTGATAAGTGGCGTCAAGTCACTCAGCAAGCACACTGAGAAAGTACCAACTGTTATTATCACTGGGTAAATCAGAGTGCTATTGAGCCTGCCTCACTACACGACTCCTTTGCACCCCACTTTACAGCTGAGGGTCTGACGTCGTCTAGTGTCGTGTCCTCCTGCCCAAGTCCCCACTTTTCCCTTTTCCTGAACTCTCCCCTTTCTTTTTGGCTTGAGTCTCCATTATCCTCAAGCCTGGCTAGTAGAGAGGTAAGCCTCTGACCCCTCTGCTAAGAAGAAAAGAAGACCCCATCACCATGGAGACATGATTCTTCACTGTACCTTAAGATGATAGTGCTGAGACATCTGATTGGGTGGTATGGTTGGCTACCCTTCAGCATAGGGCTCCTTCCCAGCTCTGAAATCTAAAAGCTCCTCCTTACCATGCCCTGCCAGCCCCTTTCTAGAAAATCTAGGTCCATGTTTTCCATTTGCCCCAGTCACTGTTCCCACCCCCACCCAATTTTTCTTTTAAAGATTTACTTATTTATGCATACTGGTCAAACTGGGGCACAGACCAAAAGTGGGAGGATGAGAGGATTCACCAGGGAGCAGGACAGGCAGATCTATTGAAATACACCGCTGAGGGATGCAGTGGGCAGGATAGGAGCGGTCTGCTGGGCCATGTGGCTCCGCTCCCCTGCCAGAGGTTCAAACTTGGTGCTGCAGTGGCTGCAGATAGCTTCATAGTGTTGCGCTTTAACTTCTTGTGCCACCAGGGAGGGGCCCTCATCCAGTTTTAAAGAGGAGGTAGGGGCCAGCTATTCATTTAGCTTAGAAAAATGTTGGAGGAATAGATAGGATCCCCAATCATCACTGAGTGCAATGTGACCCTGAAGGAATTTCTGGACCACAGTTTCCTTCCTAATCTGTTAAACAATACCTGGCCTATCACTCTTCATGGGATCCTTGTGAAGACTACATAAACGGATGCTATGGAAGCTGCAAACTATAGTGTGGATAAGAGTTGCTATTATTCCTGTTGGCCTTAGTTCTGTTATCTCCCCTCAGCTGGAGCTGACAGAGCCCAGAGGGACAGCTCTCTAATGGGGTTCTAGGACTGTCCACATCTGGGCAGGAAGAGTGCCCCTGGGATTCCTGTGAGGAGAGGAGGGCCTATAAATGGGAAGGTGGGGAGTTTGTCCCCCAGCTCAGAAGCACAGGAGATTTGAGGGAATTCCTAACTTGGCTGAGAGTCAGGGGTCCAGGTTCCCTCTCTGATCACCACTGTTACCTCCATTGCGACATATGACAGGTAAACCGATTTCAGGTGCAGCCAGACTAGAAGCCACAGGCTGCATAGAGGGAAGGCTAGAAGTGCTGTTTCAGATCAGATAGTTAAGAAATGCAGTCAGCTACTTTCCTCCTGCTTCAAAACTATGCAGTCCTAGCCATTACCGACTATCTCTGTAGTGACAAGCGAGGAGAGAAACTGAAGTAGAACTGAGGGTCATTAACTGTGGCAGGTTTTAGGGAGGAAAAATGGCCTTCCCAATTCCCGGAGCCCCTTCCCAGCTCTTTGCACAATTATTCTGGACACTTTTATCTTTTGACCTGTGTCTCCAGGGCTTGTTTGTGAACTTGAGGGCACAAGGAATCTTACTGATTTCTCTATGCCCAGTGTCAAGCACTGTGCCTGATAAATAGTCACTATGCCATTCATTTAATGACCCTATTGTGCTATGTGCTTGGGATACAGAGTCAACAAACCAGTTGAGGTCCCTGCCCTCAAGAAGTTCACAGTCTAGTGAGGAAGTCACACATTAAAGATGTAAATCATGATCATTACAAATTATGAAAAGTGCTGAGAAGGAAACAGTGTTGTCATAGGAAAAGGGATGTTACTTGACAAAACGAGTGACTGGAAAGTTCTAAGATACCAGCAGAAATGTTAAGCCCCAGAACATCTTTGCTTAGTAAATATGTGTTGCAAGACCAGACGTTGGATAGATGGATAGCCGAGCAGCCAATAAACCAATGGGGTGGGTTCTGGTTTGAATGAGTCACACTGTAGCACCCAGGGGTTGCACGCTCGGTAGTGGTGCAGGTGTAGTTCTGGGTTTAACGTGCTGCGTTCTCACGTTTGTGCAACCAGTTGGCCGGGCCCAAGGGGCCGCTGGGGGGCGACCGAGAGCCCATCCCTTTCCCTTTAAGGCCGGAGCGGAAGACGGGCGAAAGGAAGACCTTTCGGTCGGCGGGCTAGAAATTGGCCTCGCCCTTTAAGAGGGTGGAGCCACTGGAGTGGCGGCGGCTTCGAAAGAGGCCTAGGACGCGAGCCCCCTTCTTCCCGGCGCCCGTTCCCCGGACGCTGCCCTCTTCCCCTCATTGCCCCAGAACACAGTCGCCCAGACTCTGGACCTCCCACCCAGGCCAAGCCCGGGGCCTCAGTGACCGCTCGAGTCGGGGTCTGCCGGGCCAACCCACCGGCTGAAGCCCACCCGCCGTCGCCATGGTAATGCCCGGTCTGGGTCTGCGCGGCCGCCGGGTCCCCCTGGGGAGGGAACCGCCCTCGGAGTTCCAGCCGAGGTCGGGGTCCGGATGGGCACTCTGGGGTGGGGAGGCTTGGGGGTCCAGTTAGAGCTCGGCAAGGACGCACCCGGGGACCCTGGGAAGTCTCTCCACCCACTTCCCTTGGGCCTCAGTTTCCCTCCCGTTGCTTTCCATAGCTTCTTGGGGAGCTGTTCAAACTCACGCCTCCTGAGCCTCTCCTTCCCCGCCCCCAACCTGCCCAGTCTGATTTTGGGGCTCTTAGGGGTAGGCATCAAATGCCGCTCTTGCGGCCCGGCACTTGGAGTTGGGTAGGGCCCATGGCCCTGGCCCTGACTCCCATTTAAGAGCTCACCAAGCAGCCCTAGAAAGAAGGAACCGTGGAACAGAGCCACCCACCTCATGGGACCCTGGATTAATGGTGTTCCATTAGGTAGATGGAAACCACCGACTAGGCTTCAGAAATAAGACCACCATGCTGGGCATGGTTGGCTTTCTCTTCTGTTTTACAGAGGCTCCTCCAGCCAAACTTTGGGATGCTGTAAAATCCGTAGCCCACATGTACAGTGCTGAGTCTAAAGAATGACCCATGCTCCCTCAGGCCGCCTTCCCTCTGCCCTCCCACCCACCTTCCAAGATTAATGCAGATGGACCTGAGTGCATTATTTTACAAGCAACGGTTCTAAATCACTTGAGTGTTATGCCTCTGTTCCTCTCTGCTCTTATGCCTCCCCTAGCACTAGCAAAAAACAAACAAACAAAAAAAAAAAAACACAGTACACCTGATGGTTTTGTTAGAATTGGGAAGAAGCATAGTGAGGACAGAATGTACTTGTAAGCGGTATTTCTCCTCCAACCTCAATTGCTTTGTTTTCCTTCAGGCATGCAGTTTGCAGAAGCTATTTGCTGTAGAAGAGGAGTTTGAAGATGAGGTAAGGAAGTGTCGGTGATCAGAGATGGCAGAGGAGAAGTCTTAAGGTGTAAACATTCAGGTCAGGGCATTTCAAGCAGTCTCTTTTTACTTGGGGCATGTGCACACACATATATATTTAATGTGAGAGGTGGAGAAATGTAAACAATCTACTTAATTATCTTAAAAACAAATAAAAAACCAGAGAGATGAGCTGCCTAATTGTCATACCTTTAAGTGGCCTCTGGGCCTCTTTGGTGGTGCCGGGATTAAAAGTCTTAGCATTACCAAGCTATCACCAGCCACTGTAGCATGAGTTAGATGCCTGGCCAGGGATCTGACCAACACAGCACAGCAGACCTCTCCTGTCTCACCACTGCTCCCCTCAGCAGTGATTTTCAGTGAAATCTGCCTGTTCTGTTCCCCACTCTGCGGTGAATCCTCTCACCCCTTGCACCTCTGGCCTAGACCCCAGTTCTTATATGCACAAATAAATAAAACAAATCTTTAAAATAAGTAAAATGCAAGGCCCTTGCCTGGTGGGTATGTCATGTAACCCTCATGATGACATGCTTGAGGTGGAGAGAAAGTTTATAGAGAGCCAGAGTGGTAGAGAAGACACCAGAGTTACTGGATGTGGTAAAGCCAGAGTGGTGGAGAAGACGGCAGTTACTGGACAGCAAGAGGCCTGGAGTCACCAGAGGGCTTCATGAGCCAGGCAAATGACGTTGCTCTCTGGCCCTCCGTGTCCTCACCTATGATATAAGGGGCATTCGTCTACCTCAAGTGCACTTTCCTTCCCTCTCTCTTCTTAGAAGAGGAGGGATTAGACTTTCTCTGAAGCTGTCCCACTCAAATTACCTTACTGTAGTCTTTCCACATACCAGTTAAGTCAGAATTTCTGGGATAGACCCAGGCAGGGGTATTTCCTACCTCTGCATGCAGCCAGAAACCACTAAACTAGCAGTCTCCATAGTGCTCTTCCTACACAGATCCAGTGGACAGAGTTTTATCAGGGAGGCCTGAAATTGATGCCACCGATCTTTTTCAGAAAGGGGCAGGATTTTAGTGAGTAAAGCCCAAAGATATAAATCAGCCTGCCAAAGAACATAGCACCAAGAGCCAGGATGAGGTCTTGGCCTCCTGACTCCAGTCAAAGGTATATGGAAGCCACTAAGCCACTTTGGTAGACGAGAACTATTCTAGTGCCAAGCCATTCAAGCCTTTTTCTCTTGCAGCTTGCTGCTTTAAAATTTCTGTTTAGAATTTATTCCTTTTGCTTCATTTCTGCCTCAGCTGCGGCAAATGCTGCACCAGGACTCTTCTGGCAGCCCAGCACCCCTTCCTTTGAGGCTTCTGGAATCTGGGGTTTGAAGGGGAAAATGGACCTTCCTTAGACCTCGTGGTCTCCTGCTTATCTCATTCGTTGAGGTCCCGAGACAGAGTCACGGGTTACATGTGGAGTCTAGTCCTGGGTCTGTGAAATTACTCTATGAGTCTTGCTTTCTGGATCCATAAACCAGGGATTATAATATTACTTATTCACAGGACTGATGTCAGAAGCCACTGAGAGAATTCTGGCAAGATGTTTACGTGGTACCTGATGCTCAGTGAGCATTTGTTGTTATCAGTTGGGGACTTGGTTGTCTTTTTTTGTGCACAAAATAGCGGGGGCACAGGCCAGAGACATGGGGGTGAGAAGATTCACAGAGATGAGTGGGAAACAGAACAAGCAGATTGAGTGAAATACACTGCTGAGGGAAGCAGCAGGAGAGACAGGAGAAGTCTTAGGTGTCATGTGGGCACCTCCCTGGGCAGGGATCAAACTCAGGCTGCAGTGGCTGCGGACAGGTTCACAGTGCTGTGCCCCAACCCACTGTACCACCAGTGAGGGCCCCTTGACTGTCATTTTCACAGTATTTCAAAACTGCCAGTTTTGTCAAGGACACGTGTCCTTGTTTTTGTCTTTCAACTTTGGAGATGCATAGTCACAGGCTGATAAGTGCCTGTGAAAGTGACCTTCGTGGGTCTTACTAGGTGAGGGAATTAGAGTGAAGGATTCTTGCAGCTCAAGTTTCTGTTCTATGAAAATGATAGACCAGGGCCTCCCTGGTGGTGCAGGGGTTAAAGTTTCATCACTGTCAAGATATTACCAGCCAAGGGGTCCTGACCTCAGTCCCCAGCCTGGGGAGAGACTCACATGGCACAGCAGAGCTCTCCTGTTTCACCGCTGCTCCCTCAGCAGTGTATTTCAGTGGATCCGCGGTTCTGCTCCCCACTTTGGTGAATCCAGCCCACACCTGCACACCTCTGGCCTACACCCCAGCTCCTGTATGCATAAAGTAAATAAAATAAATCTTTTTAAAAAGTGATTTATTTTAGGGCCCTCCCTGGTGGTTCAATGGGCTAAAGCACAGCACTGTGAAGCTTGCTGCAACCACTTCAGTGCAAGTTTAATTCCCAGCCAGGGAGGTGACCCACATGGGGCGGCAGAACCCCATTGAACCCACCTACTGCTCCCCTCAGCAGTGTACTTCATTCATCTGCTTGTTCTGCTCCCCATTCTGTCTCTAGTGAATCATCTCACAGCTCCCACACCTCTGGCCTGTACCCCGGTTCTGTATGCATAAATAAGTAAACATTTTAAAAATTATATTTTATGCATACAAGAACTGGGGTGTAGGCCAGAGGTACAAGGTTGAGGGGATGGGTTTAGAGGATTCACCACAGACAGAGTGGGGAGCAGAACAGGTGAATCAACTGAAATACACTGCTGAGGGGAGCAGCCCGTGAGACAGGAGAGGCCTGCTGCCCCGTGTGGGTCACTCCCTGGCTAGGGATCAAACTTGTGCTGCAGGGGCTCCAGATAGCTTGATATTGCTGAGACAACCTCTTGTGCCTTCAGGGAGGCTCTAAATAAATCTTTAAAATAAAAAAAAAAAAGAAAATGACAGATCAGTCCCTTTCCTTTTGTGAGGCTGATGATATCACGTCTGAGAGTGAGTTCTTCCAGAGAAAAGGGGCCCATCAACCTGTAGGTCATCAGGATTTTATTGCTGTTGTAACTCTGATATTGTTGTTGTCCTTCTTAATATTGTTAAATTGTAAGGTGCCACTGTCTGGAGTATGCTACTCTCTGATAAAACACAAAGAGGAAGAAAAACCTCTCTCTGGCCCAGACAACTCAATGCAGCAGCAGGGGTAGGCGTGGAGACCTTCCTGTCAGTTAAGTCAGCAGTTCTGACTCAAAAACACCCTCAGAGCAGGTCTGTTGCTCTTGAAGGTGTCAGTCTCACCTCGCTTCCCAACTGGAATCCATACTTAATTTTAACTTGCCGGAAAAGCTATATTTAACTTGCGCCTATTTTTCTGAATCCAAGGCCGCTCTGGCTTACTGATGGCTCTGTGTGTGTGCGCGTGTGTGTGAAGTAAGCTGTGGACAAGCAGCACGGCCAACTGGACAGGCTGGCCACCAGGGAGCCCCTTTGCTTGAGAGGGGCGATTTATTTGACTCCTAAATGCCCTGATATATTTGCTTCTACTGGCTCCCCCAAATGCCACTCCTTCCTACCCCAAGATTGAAGAAAGAAGAAAGCTACCGGAAGACTTGGCCTTTTAACTTTTCCGGCAGAAGCCTGGTGGTGGCCCACGGGCAAGGTCAAGGCTAGTGAGAGACCCACCCGCCGTTCGCAGCGTGGTTCCCTGCGTGTGTGTATCTGCACACAGATAGACGCACACACCCCATGTGCCTAATACGGTGAACAGTGTTTCTTGATTTCCAGATTCCAAAACCTACTCTGCTCCTTTGTAGGACTTCTTGTCTGCTGTGGAGGACACGGAAAACCAGTTTGCTGGCTCGCGGCCCGTGAAGGCTGGGTGCCTGAGGTCCGCCTCTTCCCGGCAACAGGAGAGTGCACAGGCATGGTTTTCCGCGCAGCCACCCTCATGCCCCACCGCCCCTTCAGCAGCCCTGAGACCCCACCTTCCTCCTTCCAGCATGCCTCCAGCAACAGCCCCCCTAAGACCGAGCTCGACTTCCAGCAGCTGGACAGGCAACCAGAGGAGAGTGGTGCTGACAGAGGTGCTCAGAGGGCCGGCACAACCCCAGTCCTCGGGCCCCCAGCCCCGGTTCACCTGTGAACGCCAGCATCAAGCGACTGATGACTTTGAGGGCGCTGAACAAGATGAATTTGATAGGGTGCTGGCAAGCATGGAGCTGGAGGGGCCTGGCATGGAGCTAGAACTTGGGGTTGGCAGTGAGGCCCCAGGTCGCCTACCCACCTGGCAGCAGGAGGACTCAGTGTTAGCAAAAAAGGCCCGGGTGGTTGCTCTGAGCACATCTTGCCAAGAGGAACCCCTGCCTGCCACCCATGTAACAGGTGTCACCTCAGCCCAGGAAGAGCCTCCAGATGGTCTCGTCCACTGCAGGACTGCACAGTCCCACTTGAGACCTCGTGCAGAGGCTAACTTACCTTTCCCAAATGCCTCAACAGTTCCCACTGAGCAACCCCATTGGGAAGCCTGTCCCAAAGGTCCCTCTCTTCAAGCACCCCTGCCTCTCCAAGCTGCTGGTGGCCCCATTCAGAGGAGCCCTCAAAGTCGTTTTCCCCATCAGCCTTTCCAATCTCCAAGTGCCCATGTAAGTGGCAAACCTCACTTTCCTGGACCACGAACCCCCAATTCAAGCTATTCTACTCCCTCAAGGACTATCCCTGGAATCATTCCTCAGAGGGTCTTATCACCCCGGGCTCCAGTGTCTTCTTTTGCGTCTCCTATCGGCACCCCAAAAGGCCCACACTCCTCCCTGGCTGCCCAGGGAGCAGCTCTGCAGACACCCGTAGTCACCAACCACCTGGTGCAGCTGGTCACAGCTGCCAACCGGACACCCCAGCAGCCCACACGCTCCTCAGTCCGCACCAAAACCCGACGCTTCCCTGGCCCTGCCGGGATCCTGCCTCAACAGGTGAGCAGCAGTTTCTTTCTGGCAGAAGCCAGAGCTGTCCAGGATGAGGGTGTGGGAGAGACTGTTCTAGCCCTGCCCGTTTCCAGGATCCTTTCACTCCGGAGTGGAGAGAGAAGGAATTGCAGAGAGGGAGGGTTTTCAAAGCTGTGGCAAAGGTCACAAGAGTGGGAGCAGAACTGGAAAACCACCCAGGAGTGGTGCGCAAGACGCTAAGTAGCTGTTTCCCGAGTTTGCTGAGCACCTACTGTTTGGCCAGCACTGAACAGGAAGGTTTGTTCACTTATACATGCTAATGCCTGGCTTTGGGCAGTTTGCTCAAGAACTGAGAATACAGAGATTAAAATAGAAATAGTTCCCATCCTAAGAAACAGCATAGTGAAAGAAGCCGATGGCAAGAGGCAGTCACGTGTGACACGGCAGTTGGGGGCATTCCCTGGGCCGCTGCGCGTGCTGAGTGGCTTGGATGGACGAGTGGGAGCTGGCCAGAGCTTGGGGGCTGTGCTCTGGAGGACACGCCAGCCGTGGGGACACGGGACAGAGTGTGCGCAGGCAGAGGCCTAAGAGCCCGATGCTCTCGGGCCCACAGATCAGTTCATTGTGGCTGTGTGTGGGGTCTGTGTGGAGAGCTGGGGCTCTGCTGAGTGTGGGTTTCTGCAGTGGTGGAAGACAGTATCATCTAGGGGCTTGGGGACAGATCCCAGTTACCTGGACTCCGGGCGCTGGCCTGGGTGTGAGAGGTACAGGTACATCCCTCCCCACCCACTTCAGGGTATTTGAAACAATTTCTACCCGCTAGTTACTTGCTCTTCCCTAGCGCTTGAAGGGAAGCAGGGGGAGGGGAAGGGCATGCCTCCTGGGGCTGTGCCCTCATGTAGGCGGCAAAGGGACCCAGCAAAGGGACCTGGGGAAAGGGCCTCTTTGCCCCTTCAGGCCTCTCGATTCAGGTCATTGCCCCCTTCAGGCCGCCCTGGGTTTGGCTCCTGGGCCAGCTCTGGCTCCCTCACATTCCCCAAATGATTCCCAAAGCATCTTTTTTGAGCTGCCAGCGAGGCTCCTGAGACTTTGTTAGGAGAGATGGAGTATGTGTTAATTGTCCCTGATAGCTTCCTGAACTCATTACGTAACCCAGACAAGAAGCTGACTTGTAAATAACAGCTGCTGAGCTTGCTCTCGCCTTCTCCTTCTCTCTTGCCTTGTAGCACAGTGGGAAAAATCTGGAGGAGATCATGGTTTCCACCCCCCAGACTCCAACTCATGGTGCTCTGGCCAAATTCCAGACAGAGGTAATGAAACCCTAACTTCTGGACGTCGTCTGACAGTAAGGGACATCTCTGCATGTGTCGGGTTGAGAGTCAGAATTGCTGCTGTCAGACCTGTCTCCTGGGTGATGCCAAGGGCACTTGGGGAAGGCATTGCTGGCATAAAGGGGGCCCGACCAGCCAGGCACTAGCTGCCGCCATGGGTCCTTCTTCACCACCGACCTATGAGGCCTGGCCTCATCTTTCTTCCCTCGGGAGGAGAGTGGGCGTGGCATTAGGAAACTGACCGTGGGCGCCTCTTTGTAGGTGAGACCCCCTCTCCTCAGGGGTGCTGGAGGACCTGCTCTGTCCTCAACCACTTCTGCTTTTCATTTTCTCTAGAAGTCTTTTCTCTTTGCTGTAGCTCCACAGACTCACCAGACTCAAAGCAGTAAATTCTTTTCTGGATGAAAAGTATGAATGTGTAAGATGCTAATCGTAAGCCAGAAGCATCCCAAGTAAATTATGACCAGTTTCAAAATGACTGAGGCTCTCTGGAAGCTCTTAGATCTATGTAGGCCTCAGTAGCACTACGGCTTCCCGAGTCTCTTATGAGAGACAAGTATGGGCAGCCTCTGCTCTGGCTTAACTAAAGACAGGACCTGCCTGAAAATAGAGTAGCGCACCTTTGCCCCAGCTGCTGCGCGGAAGATACGCAGTGCCACGAGATGGGACATACCATTTCCTGACCTTGGCATGAACGGAAGGAGAGGCTGGCTACCACACCCTAGGGAACCCCTCCCTGCCACACCCGCTTCTGTCTCAGTCTGTAGCAAGGTGGACCCCTTAACCGAGGACCACCCGCTCTGTGGTGCCAGGTTGCTACTAGTTCTCAGGCGCCAGTGGAGGAGGAGTTCGGACGAGGACCCTGGCTGGCTATGAAATCTTCTCTGGGCCTGGATGACAGAGACCCCTCCTGCTTCCTCTGTACCTACAGCATCGTCATGGTGCTGCGGAAGGTAAGGGTCCTGGGTGCTGAGATCCAGAGACAAGGCCATTCTTACCCTCTCACCAGCGACTTCCCTCCTCTGCTGAGGGGAGGGGTTGTTTGCTCCCTGCTCACCTATGGTCCCTCTTCAGGGAACTTCCCACTCACCTATCCCTGCCCCTGCCCCGATGGCGAGTGGGCTCCGGGCCTGTCTCTGTGTCTGAGGCCTGGACGGGAGGGCTGTGCACGCTCGACCCTCAGAGAGGCCAGTGTCCTGCGTGGACGTGTTAGTACCTGTGCTGACGTGTCCCTACCTGTGGTCTGCGGTGATGCAGCTCTTCAAGCACACGTACGCAGACGTGGGGGAGAGAAAGGAAGCACCCGCTGGCTTCAGGTCATTGGAGAGAGACAGGACAGGCCTCTAAGTTACCTCTTTGACCTCTGCAAAGGAGGAGCATCACCATATTGTTCTCTGTCCCCACGCACCCCCAGTTTGCTCTGACACACTTGGGGAGCTTGCAGGTGGGACACAGCCAGTGCCTCTCCTTCAACTAGGCAGCCCTGAAGCAGCTTCCCAGGAACAAGGTGCCCACCATGGCAGTGATGATCAAGTCCCTGACTCGGAGCACCATGGACGCCAGTGTGGTCTTCAAGGACCCCACAGGTGAGGAGTTCAGTCCGAGAGTATCTTGTTGGGTGACCTCTGTTGCGGTAAGGAGCTGAGGAGGAGTCACCCTCTCCATTTGCAGAAGGGACATGAGACAGTGAGCAGCCCACTTCCCAGCCAGGGGCCACGCCGGTCACCGCGCTGCCCCTGCCCTGAGCCTGATGGGCCATGTGGTATTTGCAGGAGAGATGCAAGGCACAGTGCACAGGCTGTTGCTTGAGACACGCCAGAATGACCTGAAGCCTGGCTCAGTGCTGCTGCTGAAGCAGGTATGGGGACCGCGCGCCACCCCGCCCGCCCCGGGCGGGCCCCGGAGGTGCCTGTCGCCTGCCTTGTCTGGCTGCCTGTCCTTCCAGGCGGAGTGGCAGGCCTGGTGCTTGGCCCGGCTTGCTCACAGCCAGTGAAAGCCTGACTCCCACACTCCGGGGTCGGAAAGCGGGGGCTGTGCGGTGGGGGAGGATGGTACGGTGAGTGGCTCCGCCCTGGCACCAGAGGCGGCAGGAGCAGTTTGTGTGTCGAGGCCCCAGGCGGCCATCCGACAGTACCGGGTGCTGTTAGGGCGCTGACTTCCCCTTCCTCTACTCCAGATTGGAGTGTTTTCTCCTTCGCTCCGAAATCATTACCTCAACGTGACACCCAACAACCTGGTCCACATTTACAGCCCAGATTCTGGGGATGGGAACTACCTCAGGCCATCGCAGCCCTCCCTTAAGGTAAGAGGAACAGGACGGAACGGGAGCCGCGGGGCCGCTTCTGCCCGGATCTCTGTCTCCTCCTCCACCTGGGGCAAGGGGTGAGGCGGTGCCTCGGACAGGGCCACTCCTGTCCTTGTTCCAGCGCCTGCCAGATGGCAGAGTAACGGGACCTGGAGAGCAGCTGGCTTCTTGGTGACGCCTGGGTGTCTGATGGCAGCCTCGAGTGTGGAGCCGGCGGAGTCACCTGAGAACTGAGCGAGCTGGGGGGCCTCTGGGGCACGGCGAGGGTCAGGCGGTCTGAAGTGGCCGCGCAGAGGAGAGTGAGCCTGTCGGCTGGGGCCGGCTGGGGCCAGAAGCCCTGGGTCGGGCCGATTACTAGACATTTGCAATATGACCTCTGGCAGTCGTGCCCCCTCCCCTCTATCGCTCCATCTGTAGAAGTGGATCAGACTTGACCCCTGGCCAAGTTTATGCCCTTAGCTCTGACTTGCTACTTCCACCATTTCCTTTACCTTTCCCCTTCACCACCCACTTTCTCTCAGAAATCACCCACTTGTAAGAAACAGTCTCCATTTTTTGTTTAAATTTCAGTCATCCATATGTATTACAGAACAAAGCAAAAAATGAAATTTACCCTTTTTTAATTCCACGATCAACTACGGGCTAACCCTGGTCAGCGATTTAATTGCTAATATTAATTACTTGACCATATATTAGCTCGTTTGGGAATTGTTAACAGCTAAGTTTTGATGCCAGGCTAACTCTCCAACATATTTCTGAATAACCTCTTCACTCTCTGCTCATATAGATTCCCTAAAACATCACACTCCAACGGAATTAGCAAAGAAAAGCAGCCCAAACAGTATGTTACATGAGTTGTTCCAGCTCCCTCTGTAGCAAGGAGCTGGGAACAGTCCCCCGCCACACTGCTCCATCCCGTCTCCTGAGCCTGCCTGCTCCTTTGAGACTGCCTGGGTGGGGCTGGCACCCGCCAGGAGAATTTCAGGGGCACAGGCCTCAGTAACCAGCGTCTCTGTCCCCAGGATCCAGGAGGCCTTCAGCAGAAAGAGGCGGTTAGGCCTGGGAAAGGCCCCAAAACAGCTCAGAACCCAGAAGAAGGGGCATCCCCTGTGGGAGAGCTCCCAGAAGCAGGTAAGGCAGTCAGCCCACCTAGAATGTTCTCCCTGTGTTAACTTTGGAAAAGTTCAGTCACATCCTTCTGGCTGCATCTTGTTCCTCTTTCTGGGAACCTGTGGCTCTTACAGGATCCTACAGAAATCAGGTGTGGTGCCTCTGGAAAAGCTGCAAGCCACAGTTCTCCCCCATTTCCAGACCATATGCCATTAGACGTCAGGAAGAGATGGGCCACACCTACTCTCCTGTGGGCTGGTGGGCAGCCCACAGAAGCAGGTTTGCCCATCCTGACCAAGACCAGAAGCCCTCCAGGAGGTGCTGAGTGGCTGGAGTGGGACCAGGATACAGATCTGAGAGGCCTCCTGGGGAAGGCCGGCTGGTTCCTCAGGAGGCAGCGTCACCCAGGTGACACCAACAGCGTCCAGGCTCTGGATCTTAAGTTTTTAATTCCATAAATTTAACACTGAATAACGCCAAATTCCCACAATTGTGGTCGGTGCATTACATAAGCAAATTCACAGCAGACCAGTGGATCATAAGTGAGAAAATGGGGGGAAGCCTGCTGCTTGTTTATACCTTAGGAAATGTATTTGCCTCCTCTGCAGGAATCGTCTCTAACATCTTGCATTCTTTCCTCAGGGGTCAGTTTGATACGTTAGGTTAGACCACGCTGACAGCTCAGTCCCCTTATTTGACAGCGTTCCCCCAAACGACCAGTGTGATAGCGAGGGGTAGTGTTTTTTGTGGCAGAGTCCCCAAGTGCGATGCCAGTTAGTCGTGGCTGCGCCCAGACCAATGCCTGTCCTTCCAGCAGCAGCCTGTGGCGCGCCGTGCCCGACAGGGTGCTGGCTGCCAGGTGTTTCCAGGCCGACTTCCTCCCGGGGCTGCCAACTCCACCCACTCAGGGGCCTTTCTAGTTGCGAGTGTGACTTTGGCATCTGATCATGCCTGAGCGTGCTCCCCTTCAGGGGGTCTGCAGGCTCTTTACACCAGGATAAAACGGGCTCCACCACGAGGTGCCCTCTGAGGGGAGCCACGAGGACTGACTAGCGGGGTGCTGGCCAAACGCGGTACGCACTCAGCGGGTGCTAACTCCGTCATGATGGCAGTAGCAGTGGGGACACTGAGATCAGCTCTTTCCAGGTTCTTGGACATAAGCACCTCATCTGAGCAGTCAAAATAGTTACTTTCATTCCATGCACCCACAGAGGCACTTTGCGGGGGCGGAGGGGCATGATGTTGCCTCCCACTCTAGATTCATGAGGTATGTGGTGGCTTTTTCTGGCCTTGCTTCTCCCTCTGTCCAATGAGAGGGTTGCACCAGGGGCTCTCTAGAGAGTTTCTGTTCAGGCAGAAAGTGAGGAACCACGGCCATGGCCAGCCTTCCTCAGCAGGATGGCCCCCGCCTTTTTTTTTTTTTTTTTTATTTTTTTTTTTTTTTAAAGATTTAGTTATGTATGTATATAGAGCTAGGGGTACAGGCCAGAGGTGCAGGGGGGTGAGAGGGTTCAACAGAGACAGAGTGGGGAGCAGAACAGGCCGACTGACAAAGTACACTACTGAGGGGAGCAGTGGGCGGGACAGGAGAGGTCTGCTGCGGCCTGTGGATCACCTCCGGGGCGGGGATTGAACTGAAGCGGCTGCAGCCAGCTTCGCAGTGCTGCACTTTAACCCACTGCACCGCCAGGGAGGACCGGGCCCTACCTTCTGTGCTGTGCAGGCAGGTGGCAAGTCTGGGCAGTCTCAGGCCCATCACCACTGCCCAGGGGGAGCCATCTCCCCACCTCCACAGTCAGATCCAGGCCCTCCTGAAGGGCAGGAGCTTTGGACCTGAGTCATGTGGAACCCTAACATTGAGTCTGCCCACTCTGTCCCCCCCAACCTCCACAGATGACCTGGATGGTCTCCTGAGTGAGCTCCCTGAGGACTTCTTCTGTGGGGCCAGCACTCTGGACTGCCCCAAGGCAGGTTACCCGCCGTGAGCAGGCCTCTACTCAGCTCTCACAAGGCTCCAGTCGTGTCCGGTCATGTGCAAGGGAAAGAGCGAGACCAGCACGACTGGAGAACAGACGCCTCAGGACTGGCTGCTCCCACCCTGGGTGCTTTCTGGGAAACACCTGCGTCCCTCAGGCTGTGCACTATTGTCACTTTGATCATCCTTTGTGGTACCTGAACTCGACCCCAGACTGCTTCCCAGCCCTCCTGTCCTCCAGCCCTCTGGTGCATCGCCTGCCAGCAGGGCAGGTGTGTCACCTCCAGCGCCACACTCCTGCCTCACCTTGCCTGTGGAGCTCACGGCCTTCTCCTTTTACTGCCTCGTCCCGGGCACCCGAGGAGCCGCCCGCCGCAGTGGCCTCTGCACAGGGAAATGGTGGACTTCCCTCAGCTTTGTCTCTGGAAGCCAGAGTTCCTCGGTGTGGGGCAGGGGTGACTGGGGGGCCTTGTTCTGAAATAAAGCAGCATCTGCTCCCCCTGCCTCCCTCTCCTTCCCACCCCTGCTGCTACAGTGTCTCTGGCCGACTAACTGACCTCTCTCCTTCATTCTGATTTACTCACTTTCCCCAATGTCCTTTTACTGTTCCAGGATCCACTTACATTTAGTCATCGAGTCTCTTCACTGTGGCAGTTCCTCAGACTTTCCTTGTTTTTATGACAGTTCTGTGACAGGCCTTGAGGAGTACGGGTCAGGCGTTGTGTAGATGCCCGTGGCTAGAACCTGGTGTTTCTTCACAACCAGACCGGGTTAGCCACAGCGGCAAGGTGCACTTCCTTCTCATTTCGAGGGCCACTGTTGGCCTTGAGCACGTGGCTGAGGTAGGGCTGTCAGGTTTCTCCACTGTGAAGTTGCTCTTCTCCCCCCTTTCTGCCCTGTGCCCTGAGGGGAAGACACTGCAGCTGCCCTGAAGGAACGAGGAGTCATGTGCTGCCTCCTTAAGGGCAGAATACAGGTTATTTGGAATCCAGCAATCATTGTGTTGCCTCAGTAAGGGCTCATGGGTATTTATTTTATACTTTGGGTTATAATTTACTATTTTATTAATTTTGTTGCCTACCATCTCTTCGCTGTCGCTTCTCTCTACCACCTTTCAGGCCAGGGCAGTGGTGGGGTGTAAAGGGCCCAGTTATACCAAGTTGACCTTCAGTCTCCTTTCTGGAATGAAAGGGAGATTCTCCCCATTCCTGTGGGTGACGCAGAGGCACCACTGTGCCTTGGCCTTCTGTAGGCAGCATAAGTGGGGCTCTGGGGGAGGGCGTTACTCTCCCTTTCCCTGTGAGGCTGACCCATGGATCCATCTTGGGCCGAAATGAGCAAGTGTTTAAGAGCTCCCCATTCAGAGGGCTGCTGGTCATAGTGGGGCCTGCTCTAGGCCTGCAGCAAAAGCAGGCTGATTGGCCAGCCCCCTTGGCCTGCACACTCCCATGTGGTCTTCTGGCTAGGCAGACCATGCTTTTATTCCCCTGCTAGCGACACCCTCTGATGGTACTTCGCTCTCCCAGGGCCTATCCGTGCTGTGTGGTGCTCCTGCACTTACGCCCCCTTACCCCCCCAGGCCCTTGGACACTGTGCCCTTCCCCATTTCCCCCTTTGAGCCCTGGTTTGTACTACTCGCAGCCCTGACCCAGGGCCTGGTTTCTTGGAGGCGCCGAGCTCCCAGAGGCAGGTGGGTGCATCTCCACAGGGAGCCGTGGGCTCATGGGGGTTAAGTAAAGGCCTTTTTTGCTCTCAGAAAGCTAAGGCCAAGGACACATAACCCATGGTATCCTGGGAGGAAGCTGTTGTCAGAGCACCTTCAGGTCTGTGCAGAGAGGCTGAGGGGCAGCAGCTCCTGTCCTGCCCGCAGTGGCTATTCTGTGCCTTGGGAGGAAGCCTTGGCCCCTGTTGGCCCCAGCTGGCCTTACCAGCTCCCATCCCTGGGAACCCAGCTGTGGGTGCTCAGCCAGGCCGTTGGCGGGGCAATTAAAACACTGAATGGGTTCCAACAGGGTTAATCACAGCTGCTTTATAGAGGCGCCTTTCTCCGAGACTCTCCAAGCCCTCACTGTGCATGATCTCATCCCTCCTCTGGGGTCCCCCGCCCTGGAATACCACCAAGAAGCTGGGGCCAGAGTAGGTGAACAGCAGAGTAAGGGCAGTGCCGGAAACAGCCCAGGCTGCTGCCACCCATTCGTGCAGGCGGTGAGTGTTTGCTCTGGCAGAGAACACAGCCCTCAATCAATGCACTATACATAGAGGCCAGCTGGCTGCCAGCCAAGTGCTCCAAAGAGTCATGTCAAGACCTACTGTGTGCCAGGCCCTGTTGGGCACCAGAAACCTAACTGAGTGAATTCATGCCCTGAGGCCCAGATCTAGCCCAGCAGGCCATGCTCCTTGCCACTGCTGTCTGTAGGACACTGGGACAGGTGTGAAGGCCTCTAGGAGCACAGATGGAACCTAGAAGCTGGGGGGTAGAGGTGGAAGCGCTGGGGTTGCTGTAGGGGTGTCTTCCAGAGCAGGTGACTTTTGAGGCAGACTTTGAGGAATGAGTCAGAAGGGAAATCCAAACAGCAGGAAAGGTGGGGCCAAACCAAAGAACTGGGCTTCGAGGGAGAAGGCAGGTGTCAGAAGTGCACAGAAGCTTTCCGGTTAGAGAATGAACCGTTTCAGACAGCGTGTTCCACTGGGGCAGTGCAGCAGTGGGTGTGATGAGACGACGGAGGTGGGGCTGTTCCAGGTCAGAGGTGTGGAGCTGGTGACTGAAAATGTGACTGGGAACTGGAACTTGTCTTGAGGGGACCAGGGAAGAAGTCAGAGATGACAGCTGGGAGCTGCTGCAGGGTCAGGGAGGGGAGGACCCCGCTGGGCTCCAGGAGACCAGCCAGGGCCAGCAGCTGTGGGCCGGCAGGCCAACCCTGAGGGGGCAAGGGCCAGCAGTGAGCTCCGCCTGTCAGAGCCAGGCAGGCAGGCGCTCACCCTCGCACACTCCCCTCCCCTGGCTCGGCAGCCAGCCCAGCTGGTGCTGTTTCACGGCCTCCTTCCTCCCCCTAGAGGATCCTGGAAGCAGAAACAATTTCTCTTGAGTTGGGTATTGTGACTTGAAAGTCTCTTTGGTTGGCGTCCCCAGAGTTGCCAGGTTAACCAGTCAGCCCTGCTCAAGTAGCCACAGCCCTGCTCAAGTAGCCACGTGAGCCCTATTAGGAGCTGGGGGGCTAGGGGGGTAGGGGGAGGTGTCACGTCTCACTGAAGGCAGTTTCTGGAGACTTGCCATCCTGCCTGGAGGGTGGGGTACAGCTCTCACCCACAGCAGAGTCAAAGCGCACCTTCTCTGGAAGGGGCTGGGGTGGAGGTGCTCAAGTCTAGCTCCGCCCCTACTAGCTGGGACCTTACAAGTAGTTTCACCTTATTAACCTTGTTCAGCCTTAAGTCCCTCATGGGTACAGACAAGGTCACCCATCAGAGGTATTCCACTATGATAATTAGCTGACATGTGACTTTCAAGACCAAGCTCACTATTTACCTGGACATGAAAGTGATTTAAATTCTGTGAAGCCCTGTGCTTGTGGGCATAGTCACTGTTCCTGTGGATGCTGGGGAAACTGGCTGAACACTGTCCCACCCTGCCGCTATTTTCTGGGCAGGGTCCCGCTCTGCAGCCGGCGTCAGGAAGGTGCTGACGCTGCCCTCTGGCGGCCGCCTGTGCCTACGGCCTGCACTGACCTCAGACTTTGCTAAGGAGAAAGCTCTGTCCAGAGAAGGGGAGATGGGGGCCCTGGGGCTCAGAGGGGACCTGACAGAGGGGTTGCTACCCAGTTTATGAGGGCATCTGCGGGCAGGGCAGCCCTAGGCCTGGGTGGGGGCGGGTGAACCCTCTGCACCTGGATCAGACCAGGGCGCCCTGTTGACAGAGCAGCACAGCCTATTTATAGCCTCAGCTGCTCTTCTCCCTAGGTCACGGGGAGGGGGCAGGGGCGGTGCCTCACAGCAAGGGTGACGGCGGGTAAGGCAACCCAGCTCTGCCAGCTGCCACGGTCCAGACCCCGGACAGCGAAGACCCATGGCAGAGAAGACTCTCCCCTTGTCGTCCAGTCTGCGCGCGCTGCGCCTGCAGCAGGAGTGGCTGCAGTGGGAGGACCGGCGGCGGGCTGCTGCCCAGCAATGCCGGAGCCAAAGGTGCCCCCCGAGTTCCCGGGCCCGACTCACTAGGCCGCGCCGCGCCTGTCTAGACCCGGCTGTCCACAATGCCCTGTTCTCCGGCGACCTGCAACAGGTCCAAGCCCTGTTCCCAGATGAAGATGCGGCCAACATGATTGTGGAGACTGTGAGCAATCAGCTGGCCTGGTCAGCAGAACAGGGTAGGGAAGGGAGCATGGGGCGGGGGCAGGAGAGGGCTTGGGGGTGGGGAGGGCAGTGGGGCCGGTCCCTCGAGGCCTAGACTAGATCATGTCTCCCACTGCCCAGTCCAGCTCCCTCCCAAACAGAGAAGCATAATCAGTCAGTGGTTTGTATGTCTGATCAGAATTGAAGTTCCATATCATATTCATTAGCTAGTAGCAGTTACATTCTGATGTAATTTTTTTTCTTTGAATATATATATCCACACATATGGGTATTTCTTCCTTTCATTGAATGAAATTATACTCCATATGCTACTTCACAACTTGCTTTTTTACATAAAACATCTTTCTATGTCAGTAGCCATCATTTCACATAATATTTGAAATAAGTCACATTCAGGGCATTTGAGAAGCATTAAGCCAGGGGCTATTTCTAGTCCTCTTGTCATTTGTCTCTCTTGGACAGAAGAATGTTTGTATTGCATTTCCAAGGGGAATTGGAAACTAAAGCGAGTGACAGGAGCCCACTACCTGTCAGACACGATCATGTGCCTCCATTAGTGTCGTGTGCCCCTGTCACCATGACAAGCCTTCAACTCAGCAGGAAAGGTCAAGTCATTCCAAGCGCCACCCGCAAGCAAACAGCCTCAGTCAGAGACTGAATCGAAATGTGAGCGGTTTCCACTCCACTCCACTAGGCTTTGTCCGGACAACTCTTTCTCAAGGCTGCGCCCCTGCCTCCCTGCCCGGCTGCCCCAGGGGGGCAGGAACTCCTCCGGAGAGGAGAAACTGATTTTTCGTAACCCAAGAGATTTATCTGGAAATTTTCTCCAGTTCTATCCAATTTCTTTTTAAGATTTACTTATGCATACAAGGGCTGCGGTGCAGGCCAGAGGTGCAGGGGAGTGGGGACGAGAGGATTCACCAGAGACAGAGCGGGGAGCAGAACAGGCAGGTTAACTGGAATGCACTGCTGAGGGGAGCAGCGGGCGGGACTGGAGAGGTCTGCTGTGCCATATCCATCAGTTCCTGGCCAGGGATTGAGACTTACCCCCTTGCGCCACCAGGGAGGCCCCTCCATCCAAATTTTGACCCAACCAGAAGACACAATAGACACTAGAGTTCTTTAAAGAGTTGTTCAGGGCCCTCCCTGGTAGCACAACAGGTTGAAGCGCAGCACTATGAAGCTCTCTGCAGCCACTGCAGCATGAGTTTGATCCCCGGCCAGGGAGCTGACCCACATGGCGCAGCAGACCTCTCTTGACCCCCCCACTGCTCCCCTCAGCAGTGTATTTTAGTACCTCTGCCTGTTCTGCTCCCCACTCTGTTTCTGATGAACCTTTTCACCCCTATAGCTCTGGCCTGTCACCAGTTCTGTATGCATAAATAAATACATCTTTAAAAAATAAGAAAAGAATTGTTCAGTTAGCATTCATTAAAATCATGTAGAAGGGCCCTCCCTGGTGGCACAGCGGGTTAAAGCACTGCACTGAGAATCTAAAGCCGCTTCCGCATGAGTTTGATTCTCGCCTGCCCCGGAGGAGACCACATGGCGTGGCAGACCTCTCCTGACCCGCCCGCTGCTCCCCTCAGCAGTGTACTTCGTTGATCTGCCTGTTCTGTTCCCCACTCTGTCTCTGGTGAAGCCTCTCACCGCCCCTGAGCCTCTGGCCTGTACCCCAGTTCTGTATGCACAAATAAATAAATCTTTAAAAAAAAAAAATCATGTAGAAGGTTTAATTCTCAAGGCCCAGCTCAAACCAGCTATGAGCCATTTCCAGTAGGGGCTCAGGTACATGCATTTTTAGCAAGCACAGCCAGAGATTTTACTTGATTATGAAACCCCCTGCTCTAACCAGAAGAGATAGCCCAATCCCCTCCCCCAATATTTTAAATAGGTACATAAATTCTCCTATATGAGTTGCCATGATTTTTTATAATTATTCTCCAAATAGTTTGGGTTCCTTAGAGAAAACCAAAAACTTTTCACTAGCAATATGGTGAGCATCTTTGGGTACTTTCCAGGTGATTTTCCCAGGATCTCTTCTTTTTTAAAAAAAAAAAGATTTATTTATGTATACAAGAACTAGGGTACAGCCAGAGGTATGGGGGGAGGGGCAGTAAGAGAATTCACCAGAGGCAGAGTGGGGAACAGAATAGGCAGATTAACTGAAATACAGTGCTGAGGGGAGCAAGGGGCAGGGTTCAAACTCTTGCTGCAGTGGCTGCGGATAGCTTCATAGTGCTATGTTTTAACCCCTTGTGCCACCAGGGAGGTCCCTCTCGGGTCTCTTCTAACCAGATATTTGGTCCATATAAACCAAATACATCAGTTATAATAGATCTGCTCTTAAGATTTACACAATCAGGTCTCCCTGGTGGTGCAAGGATTTAAATCCCAGTACTATGAAGCTATCTGCAGTCACTGCAGCACAAGTTTGACCCCCTGGCCAGGGAGCTGACCCACATGGCACAGCAGACCTCTCCTGTCTCGCCTACTGCTCCCCTCAGCAGTGTATTTCAGTGGATTTGCCTGTTCTGCTCCCCACTCTGTCTCTGGTGGATCCTCTCACTCCCCCAGCACCTCTAGCCTATACCCTAACTCTTGTATGCAAAAATGGATAGTATCTTTATAAAAAAAATCGACAGGAGATAGCCTCAAGCCCCACCAATGGATTTGGGGTTCCAAATCCCTGGAGAGGCTTATGTGCTCCCCAGGCTTCAAATTCCTACTTAAACTGTCAGAACCACCAGGATAGGGACCCACCCAGGGATCCTGCAGGATGTTCATCATCCCTCAATGATGTCTACTGTCCCTAGACCTTACTCCTGAAAAAAATGCTTTATCCAAGGTTTAGGAAATCCAGGCACTTACAGCAATACAAACTAAATACAAAATAAATACAAACTATTTATTAGGATATCAGGCATCTAAATCCTGTGAACAATTCCTACAATTCCCATCCAATGCCAGTTCCACAATCAAACCTCTCCTTACCGGTCCTTCCCTTGCCTGTGTCTTATCTCACCCCCACCCTTGCACACTTGCGTGCCACCCTCCCTAAATCCAGGAGTGCCCAGAGCTCCAGGCTCTTTGACTTTTGTTCTTTCCCCACTCCCATGCTCCATTTGACCTTCTTGCTTATCACTCCCCTTCCAAAGTCAATGTCAGAGTGCCCAACTGAACAAAAAGAGCCAAGTCCAAAGACCCAGAAGTTTCCTTCAGGAGATTCGCCTTCTTCAGTTAGCCCTCATGGTTTTACAGGATTAATTTTTGTTCCTGAGCCATACACAGTTTGTTTGGTTACAGATCAACAAACTGTTGTAAAAGCTTGTTCCAACTGACATTCCCAGCCCAGGCTTGAGTGAAGCCCTCTCCGCAGGGACAGCCTGGCACAGCGTTTGTGCTCAGTCCAGGCAGAGGGAACATCTGTCAGCTACACACACAGCTTGCCGGGCCTGTTGGTCTCACACCTTCCGCCAACAATGCCTGTTTTCTCCTAGGATTCTGGGTACTGACCCCCAAGACCAAGCAGACGGTGCCCCTCACCATCGCTGCGGCCCGAGGCTACACTGACTGCGCCCGTCACCTGATCCTCCAGGGGGCTGAGCTGGATGCCAGGGTGGGGGGCCGGGCAGCCTTGCACGAGGCCTGTGCCGGGGCCCAGTCTGACTGTGTGCGGCTGCTGCTAACCTTCGGTGCCAAGGCCAACGTGCGTTCTGAGGAGGGCACAAGCCCCTTGCATCTCTGCACAGCCCCTGAGTCTTTGCAGTAGGTGTCCAAGGCTGAGACGCTCTGGGGAGCGTGTGTGTGTGAGTGTGTGAGTGTGTGCGCGCGCATGCCCGTGTCCAGGTCACCAGGCCAGGGCGAGGGGAGAAACCCCTCGCATGCACAAGTCCTCACAATGGTCTGGAAGGCAGCCCCGTTCTGCCTCAGAGAAACAAGCTCAGAAAGGGCTAGTGGCTTCTCCAAGGTCACACCAGCTAAGCGCAGGAGGCAGCAGCCCTGAACACCGGGCTGGTTTGAGGTAAGCACAGGAGAGATTTTGCTCCGTGTTTCTCAACGTCAGTATGAACCCACCCTCCTCACCTTGCTCGGGATCAGCGTCTTAGCCCTGCAGAACTGTATGTGTACTTTTACAAGTCGGGTCCTCAGACAGGGCTGCTGGTGGAAAGGAGTCCTCAGGCCTCAGAGCCACATGTGGAGCGCCTCTCCCCAGAGAGAGCTAGATGAGTGACGGGCCCAGATGGGATCCAGCTATACACCACAGCCCCTCCTTGAGCGCTCAAGGCATGTGATCCCCTTTACAACAGACTTGATCTGCTTATCGAGGTGAGAAGGGCCCCGCTGGCAGCTAAGGCTGTTCATTGGGATTTTTCAACACTGGAAGTTCAGTGTTAATGTCCGCCCACAGAAACCAGCCCATGAGTCTGTGGGTGACGGGCCGCTACTCAACTCTTGGCTACTGTGCCTCAGACCGTGCCCTGGAGAGAACTGGAAACTGGGCCACCTGGGGAAAGGCATCGGGGCATCAGGGTTTCCTTGGGGTTGGGGTTCCCTGCTTCTAAGTTTCCAGGGACTGCCACTTGGATGTTTCATCGTAAGTTAATTTCGTCATTGCTTTAGCTAGCTGTGTGCTGGGTTTACCCCACCATGATTAATGATACATACTTGCCTCAAATGTTTGGCTTATAATTTTTCCAGCTCTAGAAGACTGTAAGACATGTGGCCCCTAAAATCTGACTTCTGCCGTTTGTGTTTGTTTTCTCTGGGAAAAATGGAGTAAGTGGTCTCCAGTGTCTTCCCTGAGGAAGGGGGTGAGGCTAGTCTTTTCAAGTTGAGAGGCCAGGCGAAAACATTAGCACTTCTTTTCTTTCTCTTTTGACTCAGACTCTTTCAATTTCTGTGCTTCAGAGGGTTCACAGTAGTGGATTTTCAAAACTTTTTGTGTTTTACCAAATGATAGAAGACCCATAAATGGTTCAGAACAGGGTCTGGGGATTCTAATCAGATTGGGGGGGGGATCAGGTTAGATTCTGGGAGGGCCTACCTGAGTCAGTGACTACTACTTCTGTACTGCCATTAACTTGCTGTGTGTTCTTGGCTATACTGCAATCTTTCTGGGCTAAAGTCATTAATCTAAGAACCAGCAGTTGCTGGTGACTGCCAGGTCTTAAGCTCTGCTGTCTGTCATGAGGCTTCTGTAAGTGTGATGATGGATACTAGGTTGGCCTTGAGGGGAGGTGGAGAGAAGAAAGGGGTCAAGGAATGATAGGAGGCTGAGGGGGTCCCAGGCCAGGTCTTGATCCCTTAGTATTTGCCTTGGGAACTTACACCCCTCCCACAGGTGTGCCAAACTGTTGCTGGAGGCCGGAGCGATGGTAAACCTGGCGGCAGGGGACAGCGAGGTGACACCCCTGCACGTGGCAGCGTCGCGAGGGCTGGAGGAGCACGTAGCTCTCTACCTGGAGCATGGCGCCGACACAGGCCTGCGCACCAGCCAGGGCGAGACAGCCTTGAATGCCGCATGCGCCGGGGCTGAGGGCCCAGGCAGTTGCCAGAAGCACCAGGCCGTGGTGTGTCAGCTCCTAGAGGCTGGAGCTGATGCCAGGGCAGCCGGGCGGAAACGCCACACACCGCTACACAATGCCTGTGCCAACGGCTGTGGGGGCCTGGCTGAGCTGCTGCTGCGCCACGGGGCCTGTGCTGGAGTCCGCAACGGGGCAGGCCACACCCCCATGGACTGTGTGCTGCAGGCTGTCGAGGACAACCCCAGCTGGGAGCCTGAGGTCCTCTTCGCTGCGTTGCTGGACTATGGGGCCCAGCCTGTGCGCCCTGAGGTGCGTGGGGAGAGTCAAGGGTGCTGGGCCCGTGTAAAGAGGTTCTAGTTGGGTGGGAAGAGCCTGCCACAGGAATTGCCTTGTCAAGGGGGAAGCCATAGGACAAAGTCAGGAGACAAAGAGCCCACTCCTGTGGCCAGCAGTCTGTCCCCTTCTTGGGAAAGGCTGGTGAGGGTTATGGAGGAGGGTATCCAAGGGAGGAAAGCACTCCCAGGAAAATTGTCTGGGCCAAAAGTTGGAGCCCCTTTGAAAGTGGGGTAAACTGAGGCATGGAGAAGTAGGAAGGCAGACTTCGACCTCTGCGTCCCAAATGTGGGCATGAGGGGCACTTGATTCGGCAGGGGGTGCACCTGAGTCTTGGTTGGAGGAGGCATGGTAGCTCTTTCTATTCCCAGATGCTGAAACACTGTGCCAACTTTCCTCGGGCCCTGGAAGTCCTGCTTAATGCCTACCCTTGGGTCCCATCCTGTGATACGTGGGTTGAGGCAGTGCGCCCAGAGCTGTGGCAGGTATGTCCACCCCAGGGACACAGCTCCATCTAGAGATGGCAAGGAAGAATTAGCCCCTGGCCTGTCCCTACAGAGTGGGCATCCTGGAGGAAGAAACAGGAGAGCCCTGGAGTGGGAAGGGCATGGGCAGAATGAAACTCTTAGGTCTCAGGGCTTCAGGGTCTTGGTAACTCAGAACAACCTCTAATTTCACTCACCTCTCCCGCCTCTCTCTCCACTGCATCAGTACAGACATTTATCAGGCAACTGTGACACAGCAGGCACTGTGCCAGCATCTGTGGAGTGGAGGGAGGCTCAGACCTGGCTGAGCCCCCACCCTGCCCTGTGGTCCTTGAGACTCGGCAGGGCCTCCCTGGCTCTGAACCTAAGTCCTTGGCAATGCACCAGACACCCACATGGGGTGCTTGTTGCCAAATCCCAGGGTCCCCAGTGCTAGGCCGCTCCTAGATGGAAGGGCAGAGTCAAGCGTGCTGGACCGTCTGACTGTCTCATCTGGTCCAGGAGCACGAGGCCTTCTATAGCTCAGCCCGCAACATGGTGAACCAGCCCAGGCGGCTGCAGCACCTCGCCCGGCTGGCTGTGCGAGCTCAGCTGGGCTGCCGCTGTCGACAGGCGGCCACCTGCCTCCCGCTGCCACCACTCCTGAGGGACTACCTGCTGCTGCGTGTGGAGGGGCGCATCCGTTGAGCCCCGTAACAGGCCGCTCCCACTGTGACCTGCCCCCTCCATCTATGGTTCCCCCTCAATCCTAGAGGACCCATCCCTGGCTTGTTGTCCACACTCTGCATGCCCCTGTGAGCCAGATGACCTCCCTCCGCCGACTTCTTGAGCCCTCAGGGGAGCCTTCATCCCAGCCTGAGCTTCAGCTCCTCTCTCCAGCGGGGAGGACTCCAGGTTCAACCTTTGCTCACTTCCCCCACCCCGTGCCCACCCGGGCCCCAGGCCAGGACAGCGATCCTTTCGACCCCCTTTCCCCCATGGCCCACTTGCCTTTGTCACTGGAACCTCGCTGACTGGTCTTAAAATCCATGCCCTGGGCCTCCCTCGTGGCGCAAGAGGTTAAGTCTCAGCACCATGAAGCTACCACCAGCCACTGCAGCATAAGTTCAATCCCAGCCAGAGTGGTGACCCACATGGCATAGCAGACCTCTCCTGTCTCTCCTGCTGCTCCCCTCAGCAGTGTTTCAGAAGATTCCCCCCACACACACACTTCTAGCCTACACCCAGCTCTTGTATCCATAAATAAAATAAATCTTAAAAAGAAAACAAACCCATGCCTTCAAGGATGCTAGAATGATCTATGAATCACAACTCAGATCATGTCCTTCATGGCTTCTCGCTGCTGTCAGGTTAAAACCCAAACTCAACAAAGCAGAAGAAGCTTCCAGCCTCTGTCTGTGCAAAGCTCCCTGACCTTCTGACTTCCCTTCTGAGGCTCTGTAACCCAGGTAAACTAGTTACCAGTTGCTGATGGTGACCAGTTCTTTGCTTCCATGCGTATGCATATGCTGTTCCCTCTTTGGATTACTCTTCCTACATTTTCACTCTGGCTAAGGCTGTCCCAAAGCATGAACTCGCAGAACCTTCCTCTTATCACCCCAGGTGAGAGTCCTTAAATGGATACTTCTTAAAAACTGTGTCCCTCAGCTAAGCTGGATTGGGACTATGCTCCTGGAACAGGCATTTCAGCAAATGGTGTTGAGGGAGTGAAAACGCACGATGCCTGAGACCCACTTATGTCACATCGCCTGCCCTTCCCAGTGCTGTACAGACCCCTACAGTGGTGACCCCTCTCCTGGTCCCTGAGGGCCCATGACAGCAGGACCCGGCACCAGCTGTCACCCTCTCACTTCCTCCTCTGGTCCCAGAGTCCAAAATACCACCCCTCATTGTTAAGAGGAAGCCTTTCAAGCCAAGCCAGTTTTCATAAACACAAACGATTCGAGCGCAGAACCAATGTGTGGATGTTGGTAGGTCGACAACTGCTGAGATTTACTTCCTCCCCTCCCCCTTTATACTCTTCCGTGGTTCCCAAGTTTTCTGCACCCAACAACAGGTATTTTTGTGACAGAATTCATAAGAACAGCACAAGGCCCCTCTCAGACTGGAGCTTGCAGTACCTACCCCAGGGTGGATTGAGGGGCTCCCAGCAGACTCCCCTCCTGTCCTTTTGCTGAGGCACCCTGAATTCTCGACTGCCGTTATTGAGTGGGGTGCTAGCAGAGGAAGGCAGGAGCGCTGGAACTGGCCTCCGAAGTGGAGTAGCCCAGCTTCCCTTTGTGGAGAGTCATGGCTGCTGGGATTCCCTTTCCCTAACATGCAATCCTTTATCTAATTATTCAGAGCAGCAACTTCTTTCTGCACGATATTTTTGCTTTAATTTCAGAGTCACCCAGGAAAAGAGAGGGAAATCCTTCCTCTCTGACCCTGGGCCCGCTCTAAGAGCCTCCCATCAGGGAAAATGCTGAGCTGTGTACCCTTTATAGCAGATGGACCCCAGTGAGAACAACCTTTTCTGCTGTATTCCCACCTACAGTAAGAAATCTGTTTAAGAGATACACATGATTATGTATATAATTTGGGGGCAAGAGAAGATTTCCAGGGCAAAAGCATAAAAGAAATGATGAATAGATTTGGATACAGAAAAAATTTTAAATTTGGTTATAAAAACATCAAGTCGTAAACACAAGTAAAAGGCCAAATACGGGAAAAAATAGTTTCAAATAAAGATTTCATTACCTTGATCTGTGAGGGTAGGAACATCTGTTTTATCACCATGGTTGACCTGGTGCCTTGCAGAGTCTGGACACTAGAATATCTGTCAAGTCAAAGAATAATGAAGCTTAACCTCACCAGCAATCAGGGAAAGACAAAACAACCCATTAGATCAGGGAAAAATTTAAAGATTGGGCCCTCCCTGGGGGTGCAGCAGGTTAAAGCTAAAGTCACTTCAGAGTGAGTTGGATCCCTGCCCTGGAAGTGACCCACATGGCTTGTTAGACCTCTCCCCTCAGCAGTGTACTTCCATCTGCCTGTTCTGCTCCCCACTCTGTCTCTGGTGAATCCTCTCACTGCCCCTGTACCTCTGGCTTGTACCCCAGTTCTGTATGCATAAATAAATAATCTTTTAAAAAAATTTAAAGATTGATAATATGCTGTGTCTAGTTAGATATGGTGAAATAGTTTTTTCTCCTAGTGGTGAGAAAAAAAATTACCTCTTCGGTGGGCAATTTGGCAGTACCCTTAAACACAGCTCCCCAGTTAGACAAAAGGCTGGTATATACAGAAATATTCATCCCAGCATTGCAACAACTCAACATGTGGGAGGCAATAAACAATCCACATTATGGAATATAATTCAACCCTAACAGAACCTAGGACTCACAGCGGGAAAGAAATGAAGAGGGATTCCAATAGACTAGCAGATGTAGTGCCTTAGAAAGATTTCCAGCACTGCTGTTAAGAAGGAAAAAAGAGGGTGGAATACAATATACTTGGCCAACCAAACCACACCCCATGACTGTAGATGAATAGAAAAAGGCCTGGAAGGCAGTGCCCAAGAATTTCCTGCCTGCAAAGGGAGGATTGTGTCAATGGGAGTTTTATAGTCTGTATTTGAATTTTGAAGAAGAGGTACCCATAGGTTCTTGTAAAATTAAAAGATTATTTTCTAAGGGTTGAAAAGGCAAGAGGCCAAATTGTTAATTTACAAAGTGGCTGTAGAAACACAAAAAACATTGAAACTCACAGTGATCAGAAGAATGCCAAGTAAAAGAACAAACACAATAAAACAGAACAGGCCCCCTTTCGCTTATCAAACTGGCAAAGATGAAATGAGTAACACATAGTGGTTAGGGCAGGTACACATTTTTTTTTTTTAGTAAAATGGATTAATAAAATTGATCTCTAATAAAATGGATTTATATTTAGTTAAGGCATTTAGGATTTACAGATACATTTATTATCCTACAGCCCTCATAATTGCACATAAAGGTTTAAAAATACTTAGGTTCATTAGTTTAGAAAACTGATAATTATAGAAAAATGCTGGAGGAATTAAGATCCATTAAAATCTTATGTTAACTTTTAATTATTTCTGTATTTGAAAGAGACCAGCTTTGGGTGGTGGTGTAGTTCCTGATACAGGCTTCTTTCCTCTTTCAAAACACCCTTAACTGTATCTTGTCCTCGGCTGGACACACTAAGAGAACACAACCCTCACCCCTAGCCAATAGGTCCTCCTCGCTCCATACAACTTTCAAATTTCCCAGTCTCTTTTGTTGCAATGCAAAAAAGTGCTGGGGTACTTTTTGGAGATATATAATAATAAAAGGAAAAGCCAGTTCCTGCCTTTAAGAAATGTCTTAAAACAGAAGATTTTTAAATGACAATAAATGTTTTGGCAGAAGTCAGTGCATACAAAAGCATACAAAGGGGGTCTCTTTAACCCTATATGGATGAATCAGGTACCTGTGGGTACTGGGAAAAGGTGGATTTCTCCACCTTCTCCACAGTGCAAGCCCAGCCAGTGGCTTGGCTCACCTCCCCCCACCCCCCCACGCCCTCCCCACACCTCCCAAGACACTGCTCCTTATTTCTTTTTCAGAATGTCTTTACCTTCTTCACGTCTCTCCACCTCTGCTCTTTCCTCTTGGCTTATAAACATCTCACATTTTTCAAAATCTCCCCCTCTACTCGCTGTTCCCCCCCTAACCTCTACCATGTCTGGAGGGAAAGGAGCGTGTATAGATGCCATTACATTGCTGGTGGGAATGGAAATCGTTAATCTAGAAAAGATTGTTTAAAAACAAAACTACTGAAAGCAATCTAAATGTCCATTCAAAGGAGACGACTGTTTAAAATATTCTGGTACAGCCCGGGAGGTAACACTTTTTGGCTCCTGTTTTTCTTGTTGCCCTAAGCTGCGCTGAATCTGCGCTGCTTTTACCCAACGTCCGCATTCTCAGGGCGCCGGATGGTGACTAAATTGTCTCCCGACTACTCCGGAGCTAAACTCTAGGAGGTCAGAGGGACCATCCTTACTGCTCCCGCGAACCTGCAGAGCAGTAATAAACTCGACCACCTCCGGCTTGTTCTCTCCGGAGAACAAGACTGGGAAGATAAGCGTTGCTCGGGTTCAGTCCAGCCCAGCCCACTCAATCTTCCACACGTGAAGCCCCCACCCCGTGCCAAGCACCTCCCACAACCCTTCTGACCCCGCCCCACAGGGCTACTTAGGCCCCGCCTCAGTGAATTTTCCCGGCCACGCCCAATGGGCGTGGCCCTACCCCGAAAGGGCCTCGATCCCGCCAACAATGACTCCGCCTCTTCTTCCGCTGAGAAACCCGCCCCTTTTATTTAAAGAACACGTTTACGTCAGCCCGCCTTACGTAGCTTTGCGTCATCAGTGCAAGCGCGGGGGCGGGACTTCCTCTCTCTAGTTCTAACAGCTTCCGGGAGAAGCCGGAAGAGACCGGACCCTGGACAGAACCAGGGCTAGCAGCCCCTCCCCCGACCCCTACAGAAAGGTGAGTCCATGGGCCACCCTGGCGAAGTCAAAACACTTAGTCTGGCCATTTCAGGTGAGGACTTCCTTTCCTACCAGGCACAGTACCGATCCAATCCCCTTTAATTTCCCATGACTCCTCGCGTACTCAAGCCCCGCCCCAAACCCCAGCCCCGCCCCGAAGTTTGAGGGGTGTGGATGGTTTTTGACCCCCTCACTCGACTCTACCCCTCACTGCCTGAGAGCTGGCTTGTGTACGACGGCCGGATCCAGCCAGCGTCTCAGCTCGCTGGGCCCCTGAACCCCCCCATCCAGCGCCGTGGGAAGAGGACCGCCCAAACGCGGAGCCTTCGCCTCAAACCAGGCAGGATCGGGGACCCCTTCTCATCGTGCAGTTAGGGTCCCTCAAAGGCTGAAGAGAGTAAAGGCCTCTGAGACCGGAGACCTGGGGGCCTGCCTGGCACCTGCCCATGAAAGTTCCCTGTGTCTGTGCCAGTTTTTTCCGCCTGTGTTCGCTGTAGTTTCCACTTCTGTAAATTGAGTTTAATAACATTTAGCATTTTTTGCCATGAGGGTTAGTTGTGGGAGTGATTAATAACTGCTACCATTTATTTATTACAATGTGCCAGGCATTGTGCTAAGTATTTTTGTTTCCATGATTTTCCGTCATCTTCAAAACAACCTTATGAGGTAGGTACTGTTTTTAACCCCACTTTATTGATGAAAAAGCTGAGGCTAGGAAAGCTGCCCGGGATTAAAGATCTAGTAAGACTCAATGGGATTACAATTAGTTTTAGTTTTCTTAACTCCAGGGTCCATGTACTAAATAAGGATGTGGAAACTGCCTTGATGTTTTGTTGCACAGATATTCTTTGAGCAACTGCTATGATTGGTACAGAAAGGAATTGCACGTGATCTTTGCCTTTCAGGGATCTAGTAGAGAGAAATGGACAGCTATATGGTTATAATGAAGTTTTTAGGATAGAATAGTGTAGAATTAGTCCTATCATCAGCTGGATTTGCCCAGGGACAGCTTGACAAGGGCAGATTCTCCAAGGGAAAGAATAGGTACTATGGAGCAAACCTCGTAGCATGGGAAGAGAGGTTGAGAAATGGAGCTGTTTTGGAATCTTTTCCAAATTAGTTCCACACAGGTAGTGATTTTTCCAGTTGTAAGCTTATGGTGACCCAGGCGCTGGTGTTTTCTGTTGTCTGTTCTGTGTGGCTCCCAAGAACTTGCCCCAAGAATCTGGGAGTAGACATAGATTATGTCTGTTACATAGTGTCTGCTGAGGCTCCTGTATTGTTCCTTTGTGGTGGTCTAACTCTGCTTCTGAGGATTAATTCCCTTTGGCTCTTAACATGGCTTTTCATGTCTATGACCATGAAGCCACAAATGAGAGAGGATTCAATGAGACAATTTATCAGGGGTGACTGTACTGTGCTTCCAAAGGAGTCCCCACAATAATATATTCTAGGCTATTTTTTTGTCTTTTGTTGGGTGTTCAGGGAAGCATAATTGTTTAATCAAATGATAGAAATCTTGGAGAAACTGAGGACTCAAAGAAGCAAACGTTTTCCTCCCTGCCCACCAAAAACAGCAGCAGCAGCTAGACTAGGAGGTTTTCCTGATGACCCCTGCTCATTGGGGATTGGGGGGGGGGGAGTAGGGGCTAGAATGTGAGAGAATGATGTAGAACCTGAAGGCACATGTTTCACAGTATCACAGTAGAGGCACAGAATAAGTCCTTACCTTTAGGTTGAGGATCCTGAACTAGGAAGGTTAGTTCCGCCTTCAGAGTCCCCTTTCTAGGGGACTATTTCAGGACTTAAACTTCGTCTTATTTCAGGACTGGGCCAGTTAGGATCTAAAAAAACTGGAAACCTGCTCACAGCCCCACAGGCCCTGTTGATGCTCTCTTCTTTGTTCCCGCAGCGTGGATCCAGTCAGCAGCCAGGCCATGGAGCTCTCTGATGTCACCCTCATTGAGGGTGTGGGTAATGAGGTGACTGTGGTGGCAGGTGTGGTGGTGCTGATTCTGGCCTTGGTCCTAGCGTGGCTTTCTACCTACGTAGCAGACAGCGGTGGCAACCAGCTCCTGGGCACTATTGTGTCAGCAGGCGACACATCCGTCCTCCACCTGGGGCACGTGGACCATCTGGTGGCGGGCCAAGGCACCCCAGAGCCAACCGAACACCCCCATCCATCAGAGGGTAATGATGAGAAGGCTGAAGAGGCTGGCGAAGGTGGGGGAGACTCCACAGGGGAGCCTGGAGCTGGGGGTGGTATGGAACCCAGCCTTGAGCATCTGCTTGACATCCAAGGCCTGACCAAAAGACAAGCAGGCCCAGACAGCAGCAGTCCAGAGGCCCCCCTGAGAGCTGAGGATAGTGCCTGCCTCCCTGCCAGCCCGGGCCTCATCAATGTGCGGCTCAAATTCCTCAATGACACCGAGGAGCTGGCTGTGGCCAGGCCAGAGGATACTGTGGGTGCCCTGAAGAGGTGAGTAAGCTGGAAAGTGGGAGGCTGCCAACACCCCAGGCCCTTAAGTCCTTGGTTGCCTCTGAAAGACTGGGAAAGAGAGGAGAAGCAGGAAGTGCCAGGGCCAGTCCCTCCCTGGGGTGTGTTGGGTTGGGGGGTGTGTCTTCCTTACAAACCCACCCTTCAGTTTTCTTCCACTGCCCTGCTTTGTTGATCCAGACTTGTTTGCCGGCTCATTCCTTGCCTTCTGTCTTTCCTTCTATCTCCTTCATCCTTGCAGTAAATACTTCCCTGGACAAGAGAGCCAGATGAAACTCATCTACCAGGGCCGCCTGTTGCAAGACCCAGCCCGCACCCTGCGTTCTCTGAACATTACCAACAACTGTGTGATTCACTGCCACCGCTCACCCCCAGGCTCAGCTGTTCCAGGCCCCTCAGCCTCCCTGGCCCCCTCCTCAGCCACTGAGCCACCCAGCCTTGGCGTCAGTGTGGGCAGCCTCATGGTGCCTGTGTTTGTGGTGCTCTTGGGTGTGGTCTGGTACTTCCGTATCAATTACCGTCAGTTCTTCACAGCACCTGCCACTGTCTCCCTGGTGGGGGTCACTGTCTTCTTCAGTTTCCTAGTATTTGGGATGTATGGACGATAAGAACATAGGGAGAAAATGAAAGGCATGGTCTTCCTCCTCTGTGGCCTCCCCCCTTTCCCGGCCAGAGCTGGGCCTAAGGGCCTCGGAGGGGAGGGTGGAACGGATGTAGGGGTCTTCCTCTGCAGGACACAGGAGGCAGGTATGGGCCTCCCTTTCATGTCCACAAGGGTACAGACACCTGTGCAAGCACAACTCAGGTAGAAATGAGGGTGTCACCTTCTTTCACTTTTACGGTCCAGAAGTTCAGAAATGAGCTGATGGCCTGGCTCAGTGGGGAACCTGGGGTCTAAGGGTTCCCTCCCAGCTGTGGCCCTAGCTCTTCCCATTGCCCGCATGTCTGCGCCTCAGCACCCAGGGCCCCCTGCCAGGGCAGCTCAGCATGGCCCCGGCATCCTTCCGTAGGGAGCCCAGAGTACCCATCTTTTGAAACTAAAGTCAGACAGGAATGAAGATTGTGTTGGCTTTCCCTGCAGGCACCTAGCTGCCTCTATCTTCTCCCGCCACCCCTGTAGCAGGAATAGGGTGTTCTCCATGTTCTGGACAGTTTCCAGTGTTCTTTTTTTCAAAGCACTTTGCTTGTATTTTCTTTTTTTAATAGTCCTTTCTAGAACTCAGTCAGGAAGGGGATTGGGGGCACAAAGCCAAGCCCCCAGCATTGGAAGAGGCCGGGCCACAGCTGCTGCTACCCCAGGGCTAAGGCTGTAAGCAAGAGACAGCTCTGGCCCTCAGCCAGCGTCCTACCCTTCCCAGCTCCAAGGACGAGTTCTGGGTATATAGGCCGGGTCCCAGGCCCTGTCTCGGGGGCTCTCCGATGGAGGGCCAGTGTCTGTAACTGAATAAAGTTCCATTTTGTGGCTGTGGAGCCTCCTGTGACATTAAGAGAATGGCTTTGCTCTGCCCCAGCACCGTGGGAATGAAGGGGGGGTAGGCCGGGCTACCAACGGGAGATGCAGTTTATTTACACCAGCAGCCATGGGGGCAGGGAAATACACAGCGTTTACAAAGTTAGCTACCTGTACAGGATGGATTACATATGCAAAAATAAAAATCTCAAGACCACAGGACAGCGTGAGCCCCACCCCCCTCCCCCAATGACCCCAGCATGCGGTAATGCCAGGCGGGTGGCCCCTGGGCATGCGGGGGGGAGTGATGCATGGAAGGAAAAGCCACCGGCCATGGAAATTAGTACAGAACCCCCCCACACACACTCAGACACATGATAGGATACAGGGTGGACGACACCTAGCCGGGGTGGGAGGGATGGGAATTGAAACCCACACAGCCTGCTGTTAGAGGGAGGGGAGTGGGGAGCTCCTAGCCCCTGTTCAACTACATGGTAGGGGGGCACTCTCCCTGGAAGGAAGGGGGTTTGCTCCCTCAGGGGTCCTGCTGAACCAAGCCCATCTCTTACCCAGCCTGGGCAGGGGGCTCTGCCCTGAGGGCGGGCCAAGGAACAATGGGGAAATTGATGTGGACAAACCAGTTCCCAAACTACTTCCCACTTCTCCCTCCTCCACCAGAAGGGGGAAAGGGAGAGGCCAGAAGGGAGAGGGGACATCAGGGCCTGAGCTGAAGCTGCCTCTCAGAAGGGAGAGTGGCCCTCAGCCTTCCTCCCTTCACCCTCAGCCTACTCCCAAGGCGCTTTGGGGGCAGACTGGAGGCTTGCTGAGATCCTCCTTTCCCTCTGGCTTCCCCTTAGGGAGGCGGCTACAGAGGGTCAAGAACAGAGGAGCCCAGGCTCCAGGATTTATTCTATCTCCTGCCATTGCTTGGCTTTTTAAAAAATAATCACAATTCTTGGGTTAAAAACCAATTTGTAACTAGGCTTCAAGCCACAACTAGAACCACCCCAGGGGCAGGCTGGGTTCGAACAGGGTATTTCCGCCCTATCCCTTGTTCCCTTAACCCTCTAGGGTCCCTAACCCAAATCAGTCCAACCAGTCCTGGGTACTAGCTACCCAACTGTGGGATGGCTCCTCCCGGGAGGACGGTAGGGGACATGTCTAGCAGGTGCCAGAGAACACAGCACAGGGTCGACTCCGTCCCTGTCAGTCGGCTCTGCTCCCAGCCCAACCGCAGTCCTCCAGCTCAGCTCCCAGCTCCCGAGAGTGTTGGTGCCCGCACGGAGGTGGAACGGTACATCTCTTTAGGATGTAGGTCAGGAAAATGGGCACACTGGCATGGCAGTCCCACAGAGGGGCAATGCCTAGGTAGGACACCCCTTCCCCCTCCACTGACAACCCAGAGCAGACACCCCCTCTCTTCCCACCCCACTCCTAGCAAAGGGGAAGAGGTAAAAGATCAGGCTTTCCTCAGAGCCCCAAACCACAAGTACAGAATAAATAACTTAAAAGCTGCTGAGGGAGGGGAAATGGCAGGCTTCGAAGGCAGGAGCTTGGAGAGAGGAACCAAAGCTGGTCAAGGTGAGGGGTAGGAGGTTGGTGGCAAGCAGCAGTTGGGAACTTGGGCTGCCCCTGTAGGGCAATGGGGCAGGGTGGGCAGGAGGAACATGGGGCCACCCCAGGAGGGTGAGGCTGGGCCCCTTCCTGGGGCAGGGAATGAGGTAAGAAAACATTTCAAATAAAGCAGCACCGTTCCCTCTCACCTTGGGGCCCCACTCCTCACCAGCCCTGGGTCAGGGAGGAAAGGTAGGGGGGAGTCATTTTGACACACAGCTCCCTCTTCCTACCCTCCCCTTGCCCATTCCTTGAAGCTGTAGAGGCTGGAGGCCCTTTCCTGGCACCCAACAACAAAAGGACAGCTCCTGCTGCCAAGGAGGCCCATGGGGACTGAGGGGAAAGGGCTGCCCCTGTGAGGGGCGGGGAAGGTGGCGGCAGTTCTGAACGCCTACCTCAGCAGACAGCTCGCTGTGCCTGCCTACCCCTGGGACTGGGGGCATCGGACAGGATTCTGCACGAAGACAGGACACGCCCAGCCCTGCCCCCCAGCTCCAAGCACCGACCCATTCACATTGCTGAGGGCAGCTGGGGGAGGCCCCCTCCAGGCTCAGCTTCCAACCCACAGCTTCCTGGGTAGCCACAATGCTCCTCGGCAGGGCTTAGTCCAGTTCCTGGGGTGGGGGGCAGGCAGTGCCCTGGCACTGTGCCCAGGTCAGGCCCCTGGCCTGACTGGACATCCAGTAACTCACAGAATAAATAGGAATACTGCCTCCCCACCAAACTTATGTCCAAGGCATAATATGTCCAGGTCTGAGTCCTGCATGCCGAGGGGTCGTGCTCCATCGCAGAGGACCCTGACACCCCCCAGGGGTGCATAATTGGATCCTCTGCCTGCCTGGCTCACCAAGCTTCCCAAGCCCAAACCCCCAGCAGCCGTCCATCTGCCAGGCGCTGCCACCTGGGTGGGGGTTGGGAGAGGGCTCCACACAGCCAAAGGCTATCCCTTGCACCCAAGTCAGTTGATGTCATCGTAGATGCTGGGCGTTGGGGGTGCCGGTGGCTTTGGCTTCTTTTTCTTACTGGAGCCCAGGCCGGAAGCAGTCCCTACCAGGCTCAGATGGGATTTCTTTTTCTTGGTTTTCCGTGACTCGGAGCTGTTGGTACCTAAAGAAAAAGAGAGGGATGAAGGAGGGGCTGTGGCAAGAGAATACCGGTGCTCCCAGCCCTGGGCTCAGCTGTGTCACCTACCTAGACCCCATCCCTGATTCTCACTCGTCTTGGAGGAGCCTGAATCAGAGGGTGAGAGGTCAGAGGAGCCGTCCCACTGAAGTCGGCTGATCAGGGCCTGGCTGTCAGTCATGTCAAAACTGTCATTATCCAGGGAACTCTCGACTTCTGGAAGGACGCTGGAAAGGGGACGAGCCAAACGAGGGTTACAGGGAATCACCATTCTAACCTCCCACAACCTACCACCCCTCTTCAGAGGGTCACGTACGCTGAGGGTCCGAGGAAATAAATCCGCACAGCTCGCCGCTGCTCATCTGTGTGCTGGGGGCAGCGCAGGGACCTGGTGGGGAGAGAAGAATCAGACCACTGTGAGGTAGGGAGGGTCTGAGGGACTCGGGTGAAGCCCTTCCCCCTCAGCAGAGGTGGGAGGGATGGACACAGACAGGGAAAGGATGAAAGAGCCCCCCCAGATTGTGGCTGAAGGCTTGACCATGAGGGGAGGAGAAAGGTGAGAGTCCTACTGCTCAAATCCAGGGGTACTCCCCACCCATGCTTAGGGTGAGTGTGCAGGAAGGCCCCCTGGTTCCCTTTCTAGATTCTGAGCTCACCTTGTGCACATCTTCTTGGTGTGTTCAGAGATCACCCCACATTGCTGGAAGAGGAATATAAGCTGAAAGGAGGGATGGAAGGGAACCTACTCTAAACTCTAGATCAAGTCCTCCTCTACGAGTGCCAGACTGCCCAAGGAGAAATGGCCCCAGAGAGTCTGGTCCCAGACTATTACTGGCCCAATTCCAGAGAGTGCTGACTGCTGTCACCAGCCTCCTCCAGGGTTCTGACCACTGCTTGTGGCTCTGGCCCACTCCCAAAGGACCCTCCTGGCCCCAGGTCTCACCGTGGTGAGCAGGCTACGCAGCTCCTCCGGCCCCAGGGTTTCATAGCTGATCCCAGTTGAGTTGTTATACTGGGGAAGAACCAGAGGTACAGGTTAGAGAAGAGGCAGTCAGTGATGGGGAGCAAAGAACCCCTTCCTCTCATCCCTTCCCAGCTGAGGCTTTAGGATGAATGGCCCAACAATTTTCTAGTGATTCCTTCCCCAACTGCATGTGGGTGAGGAACTGGGACCCAGAAAACAGAGATACAGAAGACTTAAAATACCCCACCCAGTGGCCTAACTGTAGCATTTTGATCTCCACTTGTCCAAATCCCACCCAATTCACAAGGAAAATGGAGAGAACCCAAGAGGGACAACCACTACTCACCTTAAAAGGATCCGAATTGCTAAGTTCCCCTGAAGAAGAAAAAAGAAGGGGAAGGGTGTTTGATGCAGAGGTACAGACAGAGAACCCTGAAAATAACCAGAGAGGAAGTGGGGGTGACAGAAGGATCACAGGCCCTCCCTCAAACCCCTCTCCCGCTCCAATTCCCCAACCTCCACCCTCCAGCAACAGTCCCAGAAGCCGCAGCTAGAATCATCCCTGTTGCTCCAGCCCCACTTACCATTTTTGTGTTTTAAAGACTTGGATCTTCGAGGGGAATTGGGGTTCTGGAATGGGAGATACCATAGCTTTGGGGAAAGGGTAACGATAAGGGGGAGCCGAGAGCCCAGGGAAGGAAAAAAGATTTGACAAAGAAACATCCTCAAATTGCTCCTCCTCTTCCCCATTTAGAGGCCGGACAACCCATATACCCCCTCCTCCCCAACTCCCCAAGGCCTCTGCGGCCCCTCTGGCCCACCACAGACACTCATACCCTAAAACCCAGAGAAGCACCCAATGACCTCAGACTTGAGTCAAGATACCCGAGGACTCCCTGCCCAAAGGGGAGGGTATATGTCCTTCACCCACATTCCCCTCATGCTTGCCCCGGCTCTCACCTTGTCTGATTTTCTCTTCTTGGCTGTGGTAGGACAAAAGGATAAAGGACAGGGTCACTTTTAAATTCCTAATCTAAGATCATCTAAAGCAAAGTACAAAGCTCTACACTCCCATCATCCCTTCACTCAAGATCACAACTTGGGCCCTTTATACATACAATTCCTACTTGCCCACCTCACCCCCAAAGTCCCCAAGTTTCCCCAGGCAAACACCTTTCTTCTCTGAGCCATAGGACCAGTCGTTGTCATTGATGTCATCATTGTCCTCTTGGTCACTCTCAGACTTGTTCATATTGTTGCTATTGGCAATCCTGCCAAGGGCGGGGAAGAGAAGGGTCAAGGCTGCGACCTCTC